GAAAAGAGAACAATCGAGAATATTCTCAATGGATATTGCGCAATGTGAAGAATACAAATCATTTGAGATTACATATCTTTCTTGAGTGGTATATATATGTTGGTGTACAAGTCATATATTCAGTGTGTGTAATAGAGAGTGCATCACATACGGAGTTAGGTATATATGTATGTATATATAGATATAATAATGTGTGTGTTAATATCAAGAGAGAAATAAAATCACATACAACAGGTAGCAGAATTAAGCTTGAAGAAACGATAAACAAAGCAAGGCTTTAAAATACGTGATCCAACAACGCGGTCACCAGTCTTTCTGCATCGTGTCCTTTGCTTATTCTCAATTTTCCGTTACTCTCATTAATTAAAAATACACGAATGAAAATAAAATCTCTCCTCTCTCAACCATTTAACCATCGTCATTTCTCGTTCCTTCAAATCATTCATTCGTATTTAATTGAACAAACAGATGCCGTATCATTTCGAAATTTATCTTATTCATTGATTTATATTTTATTTCAGAAACCCGTCGAATTAGGCCGAAAATTTTCTTGTCTCATCTTATTCCAATAATCAATAAATCCAATCATGGTAAGTTTGGTTAACTAAAACTGAAAAAAAATCTTCGAAATTCTTTTTCATAGGTTAATTTTACTGTCGATCAAATTCATAGTTTGATGGACAAAAAGAAGAACATTCGAAATATGTCCGTCATTGGTCATGTCGATCATAGAAAATCAACATTAACTGATTCACTTGTTTGTAAAGCTGCTATTATTACTCAACAAAAACCAGATAAAATACCTTTTACAAACACATGAAAAGACGAACAAGAACGATGTATGACAATTAAATCAACGTAAAATTTTATTTTAAATTTAAATTGAAAATAATCTCTCTTATTTTGTAGAGCTATTTTACTTTATTACGAATTACCTGACAAAGATTTATCGTTTCTTAAATAAGAACGTGAATCTGATGCATCTCATTTTTTAATCAATCTTATTGATTCTACAGGTCATGTGAATTTTTCATCAGAAGTTACTGCCGCTTTTCGTGCTACCGATGATGTTCTTGTCGTTGTTGATTGTGTTTCAGGTATATTATGAATAGATAGAGGTGTATAAAGTTCATCTTTGAATCATCGTTTGATTCATAAGTTTTTACAAGGAATCGTTCGTTTTCAGTGAGGTTAGATACATTTTTGCTCGACATATTCATATTTACGTTGCGAGACTGAATCATGTTCATTCAGAAAACTTCAATCAATCTTTAAATAACGTCGATTGTAATGCATATCGTACCAACTGCCTCAAAATATGTAGAATTCTTTGTAAGAACTATAAACCAAGTAGTGCCAACAATGACCTAAAAAGAAACTATTGTTTTTTTTCTGAGTAAAGGTGTTGGTCTACAGACTGAAACTGTTCTTCGTAAAACCATTGGTGAACGTATTAAATCAATATTATTTATAAGTAAAATGGATCATGCATTACTTCAATTAAAATTTCAACAAGAAGATCTTTTTCAAACATTTCAACGTATTGTCGAAAATGTAAATGTTATCATTGCAACTTATGGTGATGATAAATGGACCAATAGGTGAGTTACAAGTAAGAAGAATTAAAGTTTTTTAATCATGGCAAGTTCATAGGCCAACCAAATGTGTTTTATTTTAATACGCATACGGTGGTTCAACTTTGCCAATAGGAAAAAAAAGTTTCTCCTCATAAACGAAAATGTATTCGATTTATATCGTCATACATAAGAGCATATGTTGGAACAAAGAATTATTTTTTTAAATAATTTTTTCATTTGAATCAATTTAGGTTGATCCAAGAAAAGCTACATTTGGTTTTAGTGCTGATCTTCATGGTTGGGCATTTACATTAAAAGAATTTGCTGAAATGTATGGATCAAAATTTCAAATTGAACTTGATAAATTAATGAATCATTTATGGGATGAAAATTTCTTTTCATCAACAGAAAAAAAATGGTCACAAACCGGTGGTGAAGGTTATCTTCATGGTTTTTGTCAATTTGTTCTTGATCCAATATTTAGACTATTTAAAGCTATTATAGATTGTAAAAAATATCAATATACACAATTACTTGAAAAATTAAATATTAAATTAGAAGATGATGATCGTGATAAATTAGAAGAAGGAGGAAAATCATTATTAGAGTGTGCGTGTGGGTATCATGATGTATTAAACCATACCCACACCCACATCCTAGGTCAGAAGCGTGGAGAGAATATGAGTGGATGGTAATCTTATCTTCATTCATGTTGATGCGAAAATGAGCTCTATATTTATTCGCACATGTATCTGATATATAAACTAGATTGAATATACTGTTATCGAAAAATTCTCCAGAAACGTGCAATATTTTCTTTGAGAAAATGGTCAGCGAATCGGTAGGATGAGCGCTATCTTGTAATCATTGGACTCACGTTAATTTCTTTTTCACGATGATCCGTTGATCGCTGTGCATATTTGAACTAACAATTTGTTCATAATAGAAGGAAGCAAGTTACTTTTAGTATGGATATGTTTCATCCGCCACAGATTTAAAATAGGACAACAAACGATGAGAATTTTTGTTTTCGTTCCAATGACTTATTGCAACATTGAAGAACACTTGGCAAAATGCAATATATTTTTTTCATTTTTCAACTTTCTTTTGATCATGCTGATATTCATTAGTATTTCGATTTATTCATTCTCCTTAATAAATACCTTAGGAAATAACACATCTATCTGACTGTCATTCAATTAGTTCTTGTATTTCTATGTCAAACTCTATGACGTATATAATCTTCCACTCTCTTTTATTACTTCAAATATTTTACAATAATATGTTCATGCAAATGTATACTTGACATAAGGAACACCTTGAACTTCATTTTCTTCAAGATCATCACAGAACATATTTAATATAAGATAACGAACGTGCGGTGGTATTCTTCTTTTGCTCACCGTTTCATATATATGAGAAATTCTTAAAAGTGAAAAGAGATTAATTTGTTTTTTGTCAATCCACAATCCAAGTAAATACATACTTTCGTTTCATATTTTGTATTTTACTCGTTTGATGTATAAAATGTGCACAATAAATCATAAACGATCCTTCTGAAATTATGTTTGGTACTAGTTTATGCTCACACTATATTCCACAATTCAAAGTTAAACAAAAATTAATCCTAAATCAGATTGATTTTTCTTTACCTTAAAGTATTCTATAAATTCTTCCAATGTCATATCACCTTTCACTTCAAACCGATCCCATAAAGTGAATTTCTTGTCTAAATACTATAATTAAATGAGAAGAATTTATAGTTATTCAAAAGTGATTATCTAATATTCTATACCTTTTGACATTTTGGTGGTACCGATTCAAAAAATGCAAAGAATGGTAAAGTCAAATTAAGGCATACATTTCGATATGATTCAATCTTCTTATGACCTTGAATTAATTTATAAACTTCAAGACAAACAAGACTTGTAACCATTGCTGTTGTTGTTACAATAGCTGGAATTATATTTTCAGCAATTCTTTTGATTTGACTTCGATCAGTTATTTGTATTTCATAGTTTTCAGTTCGTAAAAGAGTTGTTGCTACTATATAATCCATATGAAAATTCGTATCATCATCAGTTTTTAATTCATGTGGTTGAATCTTAATGTCAACTATTTCATCAAGTTTAGGCAATCGATTAAGAAGTTGTTCAATTGACGAATTGTTTTTCTCTTGAACATTCATTCGTTGCTGATCATCAACTCTACATTGGTTACTATCATTATCTGCTGTAAAAATATCCTTTGGTTTAAATTCAGGCACTTGTACTTTTGTTACTTCTTGTGCAATAAATTGACGATCACATATTTGCGGGATATTATACATATGTGCAAATAAAGTGGATGCAGCAATAATGAAATCCAAATGAAGTTTATTGTTAACATCAAATTTCAATAGATGTGGACATCGTCTATTTCCACTCCAAAAAAGTTTACCTTTATCTACCACATGATCACGTGGGAAATTATGAAGTAACTGAACAATCGCATTATGAAATTGTTGTTCGAAGAGATTTCAAGACTAAATAAATAAAAAACGATAAACATTCGTTTCTATGGTAAACGATATAAACTTACCCATTTGATACAATCGGTAAAATTTCCTGGACGATGTTTAACAAGAATACGTTTAACATTTTCAACAATTTCATTTTTTTTCATATTCAGAGGGCTTTTTAGCTGTTTGTTCAGCGAAACCTTTGGGATCACGCGCAAATTCTTCAACTTGTTGAGCAGAAATTGTAAATAGATCAGAAAAAGTATAGAGTACCCATTGAATAATATGATTAAAAGAAACTGGAAAATTTATTGCAGTACTCAGATCTACTGTTGGATCATTGGTAGATGAATATGATTCAGTAAGAAATAAAGAATTCTGGATAAAGATAAAGAGATGATAAGAAAGTAGCTGATGAAACTCAATTCTCCGAGAAGAGATGTTCTTGAATTATGCTACATTGACAAGCGGATCATTGTAATAGTCTTACTCTCTCTTAATATGCTTATATTATCATTGTTGTCTGCTCATACTGACTTAGCTCAGTCAAATCAATCTAACTGAAAGTAATAAGAAATAACTTTTCCATTTTCAGTGATGTGTAAAAGAATCAGATAAATTTCTTTTAAACGTATTTCTCTCTTGCTCAACGTTATTTAGCTTTTTAAATATTCATATAGAATGGGTCATAAATAACTTTACGATAAAAAGTTTGCATATATCCTTTCTATTTAAATCAAATGGACTGATTTTTCAATCGATGGTAGAAGGAAGTTCAAAGTTTTTATTGATAAGAAAGAGGCTAAGAAATATCGATTTGAAGTATCATCTTTGGCCTCAGCACAGATTTTTTTTAGTCTTTTATGGATTCTTGGAAATTACAATATGCAAGGTGTTCTGCTGTATAAATCCTGTCTTAAGTCGAACAAATAATTAAGAATATTTAAACTTGATCAAATCTCTTCGAAAACCTTATTCATACTTAAAAAAGATGTCCTGAACTGTACTCATTTAAGTTGCATATCAAATACTTCTTTATCAGATATAGATGACAAGAATTTTAATCTATATCAGTGATTCGAATGTTATCAAAATACTTACGAGTTTTGACGTTGTCCACTGCAGTGACAAGACCATCCAATTGTTGAAAAAAATGATCATTATATATATATGTTCTGTTTCTGGTAAAACCCCATCTACATATCCATGGACATGCATATTGGGAGTGATTACTTTTATTGATTGAGCTGCTACTATTGATTTCATTTTCTGAAAAGATCAATAAAACTTCTCACCTCAGTTATTATTTGCGAGCAGATAAAAAAAAACTTACACCAGTATTCCGAGAACAAAATAGAAATTGTCGATGTAAACCCGATATCTTGATTGAATCCATATCGGATACAAATACTGTACCATCTCTTCCGCATCCAATGCCCATTATAGCAAAATTTATCAATATTTCACAACCAATTGCACCTGAACCAACCTATAATTAATTCGCTTATTTTAACATATATTTTTTTCATCATTCTTTCTTCTTTTCTTACCAGAAAGTATTTAGCATTGCCTAGTTTATCTTGAAAATCTTCACCAAAAACAATTTCTTAAGAATAATATCGACTTTGTTTTATGGGAAATTTGATCTTGTAATTGTCGAATTGGCATAAATTTTCCTGTCACTGCCTGACAAAAACAAAACAAAACATGAATGAATGAATGAAATTCTTCTTACTTTGATTGCTTCTTGAGCAGCAATACCACCAATAATAGATTGAATTGGACATAAATCACCAGTACATGTTTTAGCAAATAGTCTTATCCAATGTTTATTTAGTTGATCTGTTAATACCTGTTCACCATTTTCTCTATTTAATTTCTCAACTATTTCATAGAATTTATCTGCATCATCCTAAATAAGAAATAAATAAAAGAACAAATGAATATGATATACATCATTCCATGGTTGAGGCAATGCATTATATTGGTTTTGAAAAAGTGATAAACCTTGAAATGATAAATGAAGATTAGCAGACATTGACATCTTTGAAAAATTACAAATTAATATTTCTGGATTTTTCAATGAATCAGAAAAAAGATTTCTAAATTGAAGAAAATAATTCAAAACCTGATGATCAACGAAGAGAAAGAAGAAAAGAATCGACTTACGAAATGCACAGTTTCTGCTTTTTCGACTTCAGTGACTGTTCCACTACCTTTATAAACACCAAAATTTCTTATGTCACCGATAGTAAATGTATATGGATCTAAACATAATCTTTTCCTACCTAGACAAAATAACTAATGAAAAAAAGAACACAAACCTAGTACAGTGATTTTGAATTCACGATCATTAATTTCAGTTATTCCTTTCACATCATGAACAGTAACGTATGATCCATCTTCGAAACCATGTTTTGTATATGTCGCTATTGATACAACACCAATTTCATCCTGAATAACAAACCTAAATAAACAAACTTTCTCCATTACTCGGAAACAATCCATACATGACTAATTGAATTGACTATTTCTTCTGTTATTGAATCTTCACCATTTGTATCGAGTACTTTGAAGTTTTGACCAAAATCACAAAATATTTGTCTAACTAATAAAAGAATAAACAATATTTATTTCTTATTTCTCATATTTAAAAAATAGTTTATATACAGTTGTCGTGAATAAAGACGTTCATCGATTTCAGGAGTTGTTGTCGACGTCTGACATTCCAGATCGGTAGCCATTTGATCTGATCTTGAAGTTTGCTATATTACTCGTGAATTATTATTCTCACTCTTCTAAAATATAATCATAATCACCTTCTTACCCTGCTTTTTTTTTTGAAGAAGTTGAGAAAAGAAGTATGGAAATATTTAGATAAATATTCTTTCGATATCTTGCATCAGTCAGATTAAGAAAAAGACAGACCACCAGGTGCAATCTTTACTTTTGTTGCTTTCTTTTCTTTTACTATCGTAGAGAGGACAGTTATTTTTGGTACGAGTCAAAAAAGAAGGGTGACGTTATTGTTTTTTTTTGTCGTCGTTCTTTTTCATCTCTTTCTTTTATTCATACAAAGTCAAAGAGAAAAACACTTTCTAACACACTACCTTCATAAGACCGCCACACTACAAAGAAACAAAATCTGTACGACAGAAAAATCCTTCATCGATATCTCCAGTCATAAGCAGAAGTTTAAAAGGCTTAGAGAGAAATTGATCATTTTACTTTTTCATCTTAAGAGAAGTTTCTGACAGAAATGGGTTTTCTCCAGAGAAAACGGATTATTCTTCAGCAGAAATCTTGCAATCATTTCTTCGCTTCTAAGCAGAAGTCAAAAGGACTTAAAGAAAAATGGATACAGTGATTTTTTTGTCGGAGATTTTATTGTACGAAAATGACGGTCCTATTTTAGATTACGTGCTCTTTTCATATCATTGATCTCATTGAGATTTTGGTTGTGTGTAGAGCCAAGTGTGATGTAGTTATGTTTTATAATGGGCATAATTCTATTAAATGAAAGACTAATTTTACAGCAGCATAAATTTATTTTATGTATTTATACATAATCATAATATACTGTCGATGTGTCGATATATCTAATATCATTGTCAAGACACGTGAATTTAGATTTGAGAGAAAAGGAGGGTGTGAGGGTGTGACTGAAAGAACAACACCTACACCCCACACCCGCAATGACTTTTCGTCCGAAAGTTATATGCTTGCTTCCACCTACCTTCTTCTAAAATTCCGATACTATTTAACGTAATTATGATTCTAAACATGTCTGATGATTCCTAGCAAGGATCAAAACATGTCGTATGACTGCTTGAATTATCTCTCCTCTGTAAACTCATCTTCACCTTCAAACTCACTCTCATTTTCACCGTCAGCCATTTTCTAACATTTCTGGATCAACATCGGTGGCCTTCGAATAGTTCAGATTTGAATCCTCTGAACTATTGTATTTGGGATGAACTTTCTGGGAATATTAACTGGGACAAAATAACATGGACTAGCCGTTTGTTGATAGTTTTTAAGAATGATGAAAATTATTTACGTTAGTAAATAAAGATCACTTTTGTAGAAAATTAAATTCTGCATTTTCAAAAAAAAATTAGGTTGCTGCAATGATTTTTGACTGAGATATTGAAGAAACACATAGAAGAACATTTATTCTGGCATACCCCTTATAATCAAAATGACATTTTACACATTCAGAAAAAAACATAAAATTAATTAAAATCATAAATATTGCAGCTGGCAAGTTCAAGTTTCTTAAAAATGGAATATAGATTCAGGTAATTCCATTCTTTTTGCTATTTCATTTAGTCTTTTTCGATCCAACCTGCTAAGTTCAAGGCTTTTAACTTGTGCCATTTTATCTCTGCTTAATACAGTTCCAGCTTGAGAATCTCTATTTAATGCAGTCACTGCTTTTGGAATTAGTGATCTTGAAATGCCACAAACATCAAAAACTGCACCAATAGTTTCTTCTGGTTTTGATATTAAATTTTCATATGTTACTTCTGGAAGAGCATAACAATGCCTATTTTTCAGAAACCATGAGTAAGGAGCAGCGAAAATAACAAAAGCCCGTTCCAATAAACTTTCTGGTTTAACTTTTTCAACAGTACTTTTCTCTAGTTCATATCCAAAAAGCCATTTTCCTAATTTAGGAAAATTTGATTGTAAGTAAACAGCTTCTTTCCAAAAGATTGCCGCATCCATCATTTTATATGAAGAAATCGTAGCCTTTTCCACATTTTCACGAAATTGAAATATGTGTGGAATTTCAGGGAAAAGTTTGTGTATGTGACCAACCAACGATACACCAGTCGAGTCCATTTTTAGTATGTAAATCTGATCTTTTGTCATATCTTTGCAATATGTATAAAAAAGTGATCGAAGTACAGTATTGAAGAAGTCCGGAGACCATATGTGTTCATCAGACATCATCGCTAGATTTGTAAAAGGAAGAGGTTCCGCAATGGTTTGAACTTGCTGGCCAACCTGAACCATTTGAGTTATCAGTGTAGAACCACTTCTCGGACAATTGGTAAACACAATTACTTTTCCTTTCATAGGTCCTAGTGAATGGCATGCAAAAGTGCAAAAATCTCTAAATATAATAAATCGCAATGCATGCAAATTTCAAGATGCTTACTTAAATTTAGCGTAAACTTACTTTATTGGCATTCGAGCTAATTTGAGAGCATCACTAAACTGTTCCAACGAAAGAAAAGGTGCATTTCTCACATTATATTCTGCAATTGGTTTTGGTAAGAGTGTAAAGTAGGCATATCGATCAGTAATCGTGTAAAGTACCCAATTTGGGTTATATTTCAGGAGCTTTTCAGCATCATAAAATTTTTCATGCAGCCACATAAAATCGCAATCTCTGGGCAAATCGCCTTCGGTTGACTTTAGACGATACAAAATGGTCAAAATTTCACATTGGATGGTAGTATTATTTTTGGGAGAACGAAACCAATATGATTGAAGATTCGTAATTACATCTCTAATAACACGGTAAATTATATAGAAGATTAGCTTTAATACATTCATAGCGCAGTCCGAACGAGAAAAGCTCATACACGATAGGCGCTTGACTGTGATTGTGGTGATGATTGAGACTAGCTCTAAAAGAAGAAGTAGTGCATGCTAAAACTCTCAACTGCACTCTGTTAACAATAGATAACGCAACAAACTCATGTATGGGCAATAATGATAAATATAAGAGACCGGTTGCTGTTATCATATTTTTAAGGTGCGAAGCATCTTCTAGTAGTCGGTCGCGAGTTTTTTTTTCTCGACGTTAAACATTCAAAGTCCATATATTGTGTACCCATGATCTCGAGAACACAGTATCAGTGCATGTTGATTGAAACACATATAAGAAAGGAGAGTACTCAAAATAGGAAATATTTTCTCTGATTTTGGTGTGGATGTTGAGTTGAGTGTGAGCATGAGTAGGTTTGGGTGGGTATCGATGAGGAGGAGGTCCACACTGATGCACATACCCACCCATCCACACACTTACACCACACTCCCATACCCAGACCCACACCCTTGTACCCGTGCAAATAGTGTACCACAAACCGATTGACACAAGTATGATGCGCAGAGCTACCATAGACCAATCGTTGATTTCACCACATTGCTGCTATTCTTGTAAAATATGTTTTGACATACTTTGTGCGAGAAGTGGCTGTTGTTTTGATAATCTAAGAAACAAATATGGGTAGACTCAAATCAATGTGCCTGGAACATATCGAGTGATTGAATAACGTGTCCATTGCTAGTGTAAACCATCTGATTAAACAATATTTCTACATTCAGACTTGCACAAAAGTTTTCAATTGAAGAACTAAATTGAAGAGACACTTAATTTTTGGTCTGAAATATTGGCTATGAAAAGGTGTTTTGGCAACCTTTCAAATCGAGACTACTAAGCGGCTGATCCTATATCGAATATATCGAGACTATAGCACGGACAATTTTCGTTCATGTTTGGGTCGTTGAATGGACCGAACGACTTGAATAAGTCGCTGCCATTTCTTCCATCCTCAATGAATCCTTTTTTTGGATTCGTATTTCAAGATGTCTATTCAAGAAAAATTGTTATGTCACATTTCTTCTATTTGTTTAGCAAGCATGTCCGAACGTATAGTAATTACGTTAAATATTTTAATCAATACTGATTTGTGAGTTTATTCAAACGATTGTTTCAGTTATTTTATGTAAACAGAAAATCATGACAAAAAAAACTTTTTTTCTTTTAAAAAATGTTATTATGAAAAGTGTATCATCAAACAATCAAGCTTTGTAAGTTATTTTTAAGTAGGGCAGAGCTTGTGCGTATCGATAGACAATGTACTCTGTATATGGGAATGCTGTTCCACGAATAGAATGATAATTTTTTGGTGCTGAAGTCAGTTGCTCGTTGGTGGCGTTCTGGATGGATTCTTTGCCTAAGATGACCTTATTATAAAACATTACACGTGGTTGAATACTTTGATATGCAGCTGTGTATTTGTGAGATTTTTGAGGATTATCAGCAAAATAAGCGCCAGGACCTAAAAATATAGTATCATACAAAATAATCATGTGAAAAAAAGCTATTTTGGTTCATTAGAATTTATCAACATGTAGTAATGTATAAAAACATTTCATTTCACTGGTGACCATTTTTTTCTTGAATTCTCTTATTGGTACAAGTCAGTTCCTCTCTTGAGAAGGAAAACTACTATTCCTTTTTCGTCTAATTATCATCATTTTGCAGCATAATAAAATTAGTCGACCAAAGGGCATAATTATTTAAATGAATTTCGATGAAAATTTAGAAAATAGTCGTGAAGAATTCTTATTACAAAACTGCCAAACAAGCGCTTGAGCTTGTGGAATCAAACTATGGATAAGGTAGTCTTGCTAATATACACTTACCCCACGCTCCTCCTTGACTGAAAAATCGATCATCATAACCATCATCTACGATACCTTTGATAGCATCACCCTTAGTACCATGAAAGAGTTTTTGTTCATTCGGATTATGATTCGGACATTCTCTTGCTATAACTTTTTTCATTGATTCATATGTATCTTCCAAGAGAGGATTTCTAATTTCTTCAATAGAAATAATTTTCATCGACGGTCCAATGGTTTGCATCTTTTGTAATAATGCTTTATATAAAGTTGATGAGGATGGTAATGGTACAAGAACAGCATGTTTCAGGTGAGGTCGTGGTATATAATCCATTGGTTCTCCGATTTGTGTCCATTGACGTTGAATCATTCTGTCAATACGATCTGTGACTGGTTTATCAATTGGACGAAGAACTTGAAAATGTTTACTTTTAATATTCTCAATAATCGTTTCTAATTCAATAAAATAAGGTGATTCTGTTATATCAATACGCATACCTATTTCACGTGGATAATCTTTTTCTAATGAAAGATTACTAACATCAAAATCAATACGATCATGTGTCAATGCAACATGTGGTTCAATTAGATCCATCGTAAATGGACCAGTTGGTGCATCTTCATCGATCAGTACAACATATCTCCAATCTTCTCGAAATACTCGACAGGTTATATCGGATTTGTATAATTCATCTTGGAATTTATCAATATCAAAATAAATATTTAAAGGTAAATGACAATCCAAATCGGATGGAACTACTTCTTTGTTGATATAGGGAATGTTATCACCGTTGGCATTGGTCCGATATTCAATCCAACGTTTTGGATTGTTTAAAAGATTAATTGGTCGTGATCGATAATTACCGACGATCCAATCACGAACGAAACCACCTTCTAATTTACAATTAAATTTACAGATAGCTATCCAAGCAACGACTTCCATGCGTGTTTCACGTGTTGCATCTGTGCTTTTGATACCTTTATAAAGGTCGACCATGGTTCGTTCACTAGCTGTAATATGAGAAATTTTCTCTTCAATTTCGGGATAGGCTTTACGCATTTTTGGACGAAGAAGTCGTGGTTGAACGCCTACAATGTTTAGCAATCAATGAATATAGGTTACCTGATTATATAGTCCTTCTAATTCAAATCTTAATGGATAACCTGAAATCGTACTTATCATGCTAGAAAGATGATACTACTCTTGACTTATTTGTTTTGAAGAAATAATGAAAGACTTAAAAAAACAGCAACATTTTCGAACATCTGGAATACATATCAAAACCGATAGCCGGTATGTGCACATGTTATCTAAGATTTCAGTTGGAGTAGCACTTATTCTAAAAAGTCTATTACCAATTATGTTGGTATCAAACCACTCTAATCAAAAATATTAATAAACTTCCTACAAAATCACTAAGATATTAAATTTTGAAACATGATCAAGCCGTTGTAATTGTATATGAATACATTTTGTATATTGATCACAATTCCTTAAAGGATCAAAATAGCATCGTGTTCAAATGTCTGTGAGTCAGATCAGTGAACGAGCGGATGATCGCTCACTTTTCGGCCCGTAAATTTCAACACTCATGAAAAGTCGTATTTCACAAACTTTTATCTGTATTTCGCGCCAGACCAAGAATATGGTTTTCTGTTTCTAAACAAAAAGGAATTCGTGCGATCATTTTTTTTCATTGAAAATGTACTAAATAGCTCATGTTACACTGGAGAGTCTCAAGTTTTTATATTGTTTATCGATAAGTACTACTTCGAATTCGAACCCAACATTTTATGTTAGGATGCAACACATATGATAGCTCTTGAGAAAAACGATCCTTAATATCGAATTTTTGTAACAATAGAAGTTTTTTCATTTCTGCTGTTTTGTTCAGCAAAGACATCCGCGAGTTTTGAGACTATATAATAACAGTTAAAGAAATTTTTAGATCAGTGCATATAAAGTGCTGTATTTCTCAGAGAAGAAGATTTGACGGGAAAATGAATATAATTTTGTCGGAAATACGCCCTATTGCTCGATTATACAAGTTATAATATTTGAGGGAATGTTTCAAAGCTCAAAGAGTGATTCTCAAGGTATTCATTTTACCTGCATTCGGTGGTCGAATGATAACACAACGTTTCAACCAAGACACAAATGAATTGAATTCTTTTTTGACTTTTTGATTTTCTGAATCTTGTCCTTCGACTGTAATCTCACAAGTATTTGTAGCTGGATCATTATTAATCAGTATCTTCACTTGTTTTTCAGCTTCCCATCGCCATTGCATCGGTTGAAAGATATAAATCATTTTTGTTACACTTTTCAAATTGTTAGACAAATTTTCAAAATCAGCTGTGTCTGGTTGACATTTATTCTCCAATTTGAACTTCATTGTTGATATCATTCCTTTTCGAAGCAGTAATTCATCATGAAAAACAGTACCTGCTATACCAGACAATTGAATCGGTCGATTATCCCCAAAAAGATTCATAATATTGGATATGATCGATCGAATTTTTGAAAATATATTCTTCCTACGTAGTTGCTGCTTTTCCTCAGAATTAGCTGGAATATCACGATCTAATGTATATTGAACCCATGATGGTTTTAATTCACCAACAAATGAAATGATTGCCACCGAACGAATTGCTGTTGTATAGCGAATATCTCTTGCTAATACAAGTGAGACAGGAGCTTGACTTATTGGACGTGTTAAAGTCGATTGAAGATCTAATTTAGCTATTTCAACTGCGTTTGTATATCGAACAAATCGATGGATTCGTCCATTCAGTTCTTTCATGGAAACAAATACGTTATCAGCATAGCCAGCTAATAATGATAGTGCTATACGTTTCCATTCTCCTGATTGAATTTGTGCTTTTATACGATATTCATCTGATAGATTAAATGCTCTTTCTAGACTTGTATAACGTCTCCATGCTTGTCGAATAATATGTTGAATACTACGTAATCCTTTCTCTTGACAAAAATTCGATAGCGCGAATTGTTTTGATGAAACAGATTGTTTGACAAGCAAAACTTCATTCATTACATTCAATAATGTCATAAAATCTCCATCGGAACTTTTCATCGATTGTGGTAAACCTTTTAGTAGAGCGGTTGTATTTAGAACACTGAGAATCGATGCAAGAGCAATAAGATCACGTCCACATTGATATTTATCCAAAGCAGCTAAAACTGCTTTGGACATGACTAATGAGCCAAAATCAGGTAGTTTAGCTAAAGATTCACCTTCTGCAGTAAACTGATTGCTAGGAGCCAGTTCCAAAATGCCTAAAAGAGAACATTTAAATTTAATTTAGCACACAACATACTATGAAACTGAAACTTAACATTTTAACTAATCAAGTATTGAAATATTTATCATAACTATTCAAAGTAGAAAACGAGAGTTATAATTATTTTTATCAACATTTTTTCCAAGTTCAGATATTCTGAAATCTTTGAGAAGCACGAATTTTGAATCGAAATGCAGAAGAAGAATTACGGTTGATACAATTTTTGTATCATAATCAGGGTTAGACAAGACAGGAAGAGTTACATCCTTGCTCTAAATTATGAAAAATTTCCGTTCGCCTTCTCTCATCTTGTCAGCTCTGTTTGACTATTTTTTATACGTGAGCTAACCTATCGAATGATCTATTAAGGAAGAGTATGTAGTCTACTAGGAGGTTCTCCAATATAGATTGAGCTTATTGCTAGATCTCTTTTGGTATACATCCACGTTCAAAAAGTTCTTGGAATGATTTTATTATTAAAAAAAACCAAAAGGACTACTCAGTTAGAACTGTTACCAGCTGATAGCTCGCACAGTCCTCTATCTATCGATACAATCATCACAATTGATTAATAGTTGATGTGATAATATGACACATTTTGTTAGATCACACTACACTGACGGAAAGCCACAAACTTGAGCATCGCTCGGTAATAAAGAGATGAGCAAAGCTATATTTTCTCCTTTAGTTCTATACAATTTCAAGCTTGGATCAGATAGTGTTTTTAAAGCTTCTAAAATATGCAGCGAGATGTAAGGTTCAGCAGAATCACTAAACATGCACATATATATTGTAATTGAACAATGAATTCAAAATCGTAGCTCCATTCGCAGTTTTTCAGAATGTTCAACGCATATGTCGTACAATGCTTTGGTTAAAAAAATCGACAAAAGCATTTTCCTATAAATCACTGCGACACTGATTGATATTATTTCGAAAAAAAGATGATTACAGTTCCATAAATCGATCAATGCTTCGTCGGCGACTACTTACTGATAAACAATGCAGCTTTTTTTATTCCTTAATTAGATTTCAGAGAATTTACGACAAAATTTCCATAAATAGAAAACAGGATTCCAATAAAATCAATTCATTAGCTACAGGTATAAATATTTACATAATGAACTCGATGCATTTCTAGGGACTAATGCAGATCTATCAAAATTGAGTTTTCAAGTAAAAGTAAAACTCCCATAGGACAAAATAATCTAGTCAATCTATTGTGGTGAATATTCGAACTAGGACAGATCACTTACCCATTCTTCTGAGCTCTTTAATTGCCGCATTTATAGCTTTTGGTTGTGGTTCATCCGGTAAAAATTGTTGCATATAATGTAATCCTTTTTTAATCGATGATCTCCTTAAAGAAAATTCAATATTCGTCAAATCCGATAGTTGTATATGTGGTGTTGGATAAGGTTTATCTTCTACTCGAAAATCATATAAATAATAATATTCTCCAGGTCTTGTTCTACCCAATCGACCCATACGTTGTTTTATGGTTGATTCAGCTGCTCGAACTTGTTCCAGTACGGTTCGTTTCGATTCGGGATTATAAATAGGTATATTCACCATGCCCGTATCGATGACATATTTCAATGATGGAAATGTCAATGATGTTTCCGCAATAGTGGTTGAAAAGAAGACACTACCATGTTCAATATAATATTGTTGATCAGATGCTGATTGTGATTGTGTTATAGGATAAGCTTTGATTGTGTGATTAGTTAATTCGGCTATTAAACTACAACACTGATGAACTTCTGCGACAGAACTAACAAAGCATAAAATTTGATCATTTCGTTGACGTTTTTTATATAATTCTTGTACAATATCTAAAATATTTTCTTTTGGTCGAGGAAATTTTTCAATAGGATGTAGATAACCATTTTGTGGCATATTGAATTTAGGAAAACTAATATTTGGTATTTGTTGAAAAAGTATTGGAACAGATTGATCGAGAGTAGCAGATGAGATTATAATTTTCATTTTTGATTTTAGAATTGGTTTTATCGTCAACAATCGAGCTAACAACGCCAGACAGAGATCAATATTAACCGAACGTTCATGCACTTCATCGATAAAGAATACAATGGATTTATTTACTCGAGTATGAACAGAAATAAAATTTTCGTCATATAACAGACGTTCTTTGAGTAGACCATCAGTTAAATAAAGGATCTTAGCATAAGAATTACATTTATCACCACTAACTGCAAATCCGGCTAGTTTTTGTTGTGTATCAGCCGTATCTGTTTCGATGGTTTCATTAACACGCTGAGAAATCAGTACACATGGTAAACGACGAGGTTGAGTTATAAGAACTCTATCATATCCCTCTGCTATGAGCAGAGCTGGTAGTAAAGTAGATTTTCCTACAAAGCAAAAGCAATATCGTATAAACAAAGTCATAACAAAATACTGCAACTGGTATAGATTTTCATTTAATCAATCTTTTCATTTTTTACTAGGCCTACTTGAGAAAAAGTAACGAAAACGAGAAATTGATTCTTGTGTTTTACGTATCAATATTAGCTGTATTATACACGCTTCACAATATTCCTTGAAACAGAGACTCTTCCGAAAAATTCATTTTCAAGAAAATGTTCTTGAAAGACCGAGAATATTACATATCAAGCAAACTGTCATTGAAAATTAGCTTGTTTAACCAGCACAATAGTTCGTGGACAGAGTATTATAGAAAGTTGCATTCGAACAAGAAAGTAATACGACAAAACGAGTTGACTTACTCATAATAATTACTTGAATTAATTCATGCTTTTTGCATTAGTGGTCTTTCCCGAAAGCTTGGTCCCATCTTTTATCTGTCGACAAGTTCCGAAAAATGTCAATCGAAATTTCATAGAAAGTTGTTAAACGATCTGAGACAGGGATCAACGGTACACGGTACAGTAGAGGAAAAAAGAAGTAGGACAAGACTGTACGGTACAGTGTGCGGGATTCAATGGTTCTCTCGCAAAATACCGTTTGTTCCAAAAGACCAAAAATTTTATTGTTCATATAATTTTTTTTTTGAAAAATATATTGTTTTTCTTTTTTTGAGATGAAAATGAATCGCATAATATAGATTAAGAAATAGCAGAAGCAGTCAGGTGTGACTGTCATGCGGACTTTTTTTAAATATTCTATCCAATTATTTTTTATTCAACCCTGGTTCCGATTACGATATATACAACTACTGACAAGCCAAATTCCCTTATGTGTTATTCCTTTTAGCAAGTTTTTCATTGGCGTCGACGTCAACAAAATGTGCTCGGATAGAGTCTGGTTACTTGCTAATTGTTCATCTCTCTATGTCAACAATACGACCAAATCAAAACTACACATATAAGAAAATTGAATACCTACTGAAATTCGACAACGTTCGGTATGTTGTCATTATCATTGAATTGTAATAAATTGAGGACTCATGATTTTCTAAGCTTAACTTTATTTGAATTGAAATTCGAAGATAGTAAACGATTGTGCCTTGTTTTATTGATACTCATACATTTCGAACAATCCCACTATCCTCAAAAAGCATGCTTGCTGTCCTTCTTAAGGTTCCCGATTAGGGAGAGGTTGAGAGTGCTTTTTCCTCTCAAAAATTACTTTTGACTTTCTGGCAAAATTCTATAATTTTTTGCCAGCGAGTTTCAGTTGGAAAAGATTTTTTCTTCCAGCCACTTTTCTAATCATTTCTTTCGATCGATACTTTAGTAATCAACGTTGTTTCTGTTGGTTGTCTTCAAATAGTTTTTCTTGAAGTAATATTGTATGTATACAGAACTGTCTCCAAGAAGTGAATAGGTGAAGAGACTGAACGGCTTCCAAACGACTGAAAATGTCGATTGAATGAGAAAAAATTTAAAATTCTTGGGCAACATCGAGAAGTTGATTGCTTCCTCGGGCTCATCTTCGAAGTAAAATGTTATTTCCGGAGAAAATCTCATAGGAGTGTCAAACAATTTTCATCGCGCAACAGCTTTCTAATAACATAAGCCCTAGTTTTTCAGGGTCGATAGAAAAAGGTCGGATTTTCAAGTAAAAAGATGTTTCGAAAATGATTTCTCATTCACTTTACTATTCAAAAATCGACAGTTTTAATCAGCAGCAAATTTCTTTGTAAGTTCTTCCTCTCATTGTAATTTCCTATGAGCAGCTCTGATGATAACTTCGAGACACGAAGAATTTTGACAGCACAGTATTTCGCGAGATGGTACATTTTTTTGCAGTGCCGTAGGTCTCTGATCTGAGAAAACTTGTTAAAAGATAAGGAAATGTATCGACGAATCGAGTTTCCAAGTCCGTAAGAAGCCCTGAAAATACCATGCGCTTCGTAGCCGCTATTCTTCGGCGCAATATGAAAATTCAAAATGCACTTATTCTCACAAATCTTACGCGTGACAACTTTTTCATTCTATGATAAAGAAATGTATCAAGTTTTTTCATAGAACACTCAGAATAATTTTGAAAACTAACAATCGTTCATTCTCAATACTTTCAGATATGAATAAAATTCATGTAGAAAAGTTTGCAAAAGAATTTAGATTTAAATCGATTTCTTGATTAAAAATCCAATTAAGATCTCTTTAAGGGGGGCCCCCCCCTCAGAAACGAATTCTGTTATTTTTCATCCGATTTCAACCAAAATTTCAGAGAATGTTAGTCTAGGATAGGGGAGATTATGGTTAAAATATCTCTCCAAATCTCCAATAAACCAATGAGTTATAGTCAATTTATTGGTCAAAAGTACCTTGTACGCGGGCAAGGATTTCACAATAAGGACACGAGCTAACAAGCCCGGGTGGTTTTCAAGTTATAGAGTGCCCTTAGGGCTAGATCCTCACAAGGCCCGATTTTTGAGTTTCCCTTTGTTTGTTTTTGAAAAACCCTTTTTCGTAAAATTCACGAATTCATGCCCAAAAAATTGCTACTAAAAAATAAATATCTAATTTTTTTATTTCACAAAAAGTGAAATTCAAAAATCGGGCCTTGTGAGGATCTAGCCCTAAGGGCACTCTATAACTTGAAAACCACCCGGGCTTGTTAGCTCGTGTCCTTATTATGAAATCCTTGCCCGTGTACAAGGTACTTTTGACCAATAAATTGACTATAACTCATTAGTTTATTGGAGATTTGGAGAGATATTTTAACCATAATCTCCCCTATCCTAGACTAACATTCTCTGAAATTTTGGTTGAAATCGGATGAAAAATAACAGAATTCGTTTCTGAGGGGGGGGGGGCCCTAAAAGTTGGTTTCTGAGGGGGGGGGCCCCCCTTAAATAACACGATTTCAGTTTGATATTGGTAGCTCAGGATATCCGATGCTAAAAATCAGTGAATCTTTCACAATTAATTAATACCACTGAGAGCTCTATATATGCTACACTTCCTTATTACAGACAAACGAATCCTCTTAATTCATAGTGTCTGATCTCAATGAAGTCTCGATTGGAAGACTCTTGAATTCTCAGGTATGTTTCTTTATACATCGATGATTTTCAACTCATTTATCGATTATCTGCAGTATTTGGAAAAAAATCTTCTCTCTCATTGCTCTTTCATTAGTCACAATCAAACTATTTCGATACATTGAATTTGATTCAATTGTTTTTACCTGAACCTGTTGATGTTGTAATAGTTGTTACAGTATGTTTGTCAATGTTATCCAATAGATCTTTGGACGATTCGAACAATGGTAATTGTACGGTAAAACAGGAATAGTAGATCATTATTTGTTGTAATAAACTTGGTATTAAATTGAAATGTTGTTCTTTATGACCTTTATACTTTGGATTTGTCATGAATATTGTTCGAATTTGATCAATAAAATATTTAATTGTATTGACAGATTTTTCTGTTGGAATTTGACCGAGTTTTAATCGTTGATATGAAATATTTTGTTTGATAAATTCATCAAGTGCTCGATGTTTGATTTTTTCGATTTCGTTTTCGAATGTATTTTCGTCTAAGAACTGATTTATATGTTGTCGAAGTTCAATCCATGGTGGATTTGACAATATTCCAAAAATAGATTGTTCAATTAATGTGTTTGATTTATCACGAATAGAAATATTGAATCGATTGATATATTCTGTCATCTTTTCTTCTAATAATTCAATGAAATTTTTCACATATTGTTTCCAACAATGTGTCTTCGCTTTGATTCTGATTAATGTTTGATTGATTGCTTGTTTTATTTGATTTAAATAATCTTGATAGAATTTGTTTGCTAAATTATTCGAATTCGATAAATGAATGATTCGTTTTAGAGCAGCTTGAAAAGCGTTCTGATGATTGGGAAAACCACGAACAATAATCGTATATGTCGAATGTTCTTTTCGGAATGTTATTTTAGGTATCAGATCAATGAAATATTCGTCCATAATTTGAACACTTTCTTTAAGATAACGTTCGAGAGATTCGAATTTTGGTATGATGAAATTCTGTATAATTTGGATGTCGATATTATTGTAGGGAATCACTTGAATATTTCCCTCCATTTTCTTGAATGTTTCTTGTTTTTTTTGTAATCGTTGTATTTGCTCGTTCAATTTGGTATTTTGTTCCAGAGCCATATTTAAATTTTGTTCGTATTCTTGCTTTTCTTTCTCATATTTTTGCTCGATTTTTGTCTTGGTAGTAATCCATTGTTTTTCTTTTTCTCTTTGTTGAAGATGCAATTCATCGAGTTGTTTTTGAGCCATGTCCAAATCTATTCGGCGTTTTTCCTCTATTTCATCAAGAAAAGAATTTTGCCTTTGAATTTTTGCTAGTTGAATAGCGTGAGATTCTCGCAAATTGTTTATTTTTGCATTCAATTCAGTTAATTTCTGTTGTGATGCTTCTGATTCTACTGAGGACTCTATCGGTTCAACTGGACAAGATTGTTGCGAAGTAGTAACTTCAGTTTTACTATCATTAAGATAATCGTCGGGATTGATCTCAGCGTTATGTTCAGTGTTATTTGTTGTTGTAATTAGAGTTGGCATATTGTCATTCGTTGTCATTGCATCGAGTGAAATCGAATGAATGTCGAATGACGCATCCGTCTAAACAGGAAGATACGTAGAGCAGTTATGTAACCTAACGTGTCAATTATTCATGACTGTTTTCCTAGGAAGTCGATTAATAAATCTAATTTCATTCAACCCTCTTCGATCGCATGTTACCATTGGGCAACATTGAGTCAATATTTCCTTAAGATTTCATTGATTATTTTATCAAAACTTCACTAATTTTGCAGGTTTTTCTGAGGATTTTTTAGCCTATGCATGACTGAAAACAGATGCCAAAATAATTTTTATAAATGTACTGAAATTGCTCTAGCTCTGACAAAGAAGAAATATAAAGCTGAAATTTTTTTCTCTACATAGCTAAGGAAACGTTGATGTCCACAAAAAGTTTCAGCTTTATTGTATGTCAGAACTGGGAAGATCTTATGTCAAAGAAGAAAGGGCTTAAATAAATGATTTTATCCATCACTGTGTCAGAGAGACAAAAACAACAGACTTTGGAGCATCAAAGTCACTAAGAATCCGAGTAATTCTAGTGACATCGAATAACGTTAGTGTTCCAGGGTCAGCTGTTTGCTCCTGGGACAAAAATACATTTTCATCTACCTGCTGATTGTTCTCGTCACCAGCATCACAATTATCATCTCTATTGACATTGTTGGATAATTCAAAATCTTCATCATTGGAATTATCAATAGGTTCTTGTTCGACAGGATTTAGATGAATGACTTGTGACACTTCCCGAAGACGTTTCGTTGTCAATGGTGCCGGTTCAAGATTGGTTAATGTTTGAAAATTATCAATATTTGTTATTCGATGTTTATTCTTCTCATTATTAGATACCAACTTCGGTATCCATCGTAGAAAACCCGATATAGTATTTTGTTTATTTTGTATTGAAAATTTCATTAGATCGAATTGTAATTCATCATTGGCCAAACTATCGACACATAGATTAATTTGTCTTCGTCGATTGCTCATCGCTTTATCCAAAAGATCATTTGTTTTTGCATCACAATTATACCAAACATTAAGCTGAATCTCCGATGTTTGATCGTCTATTATCGAAAGATCAATAGGTTCGAGAGATGTTTCCGTATCCGATTTCGATTGTGGATGTTTGGTTAAAAGAATTTGCCATATAGCATAACAATCGAAATTTAAAATCGATGAACCACGACATCGAATCCATGCTGGCTCTTCGTATTGATCATTACTCATCCCGGTCCGTAGAAAACGAATAGTCGAAATCGTATAAATAGTAGAAGATTCTTTAATATAAATTTCCTGTTTAAATTGTTGACTAGATGAATCAATCAATGATTCATTCAATTCTTTCGATGCATCTTGATTAAATAGAAACCATTCCAAATTCGAAAATGTTTTATATTCCCAGAGACAATCTTTGATAGGTTGATTGGTTCCTTCCACAATCGGTCTCACAGATAAACAATGGTCTTGTTTTGTGTAACCAAGATTGAGCAAATTTTGAAAATAGTCAATAATATGTTCATGAATTTCTCCATTCATTATCGGTGTTTCTTCTGCTTGATTTCGAAGAAAATAATTTGCTCCAAGTTCAACTAGATATTTAACAATCTGCAAATATCCACCGAAACATGCAGCATGTAAAGCAGCTGAACCGGCTTTTGTTGATACTTGATAATCATCGGCAAGGATAGTTTCTTTCAATAGAGCTTTTTCAATATGTTGCTGATTGAGTGCATTGACAGAGCAATGTGCCTCGGTTACGAGATAGACGACCAATGGCATGTGATTATTTCTTGCTGCTGAATAAAGTAATGTTGTACCCCAAGGACCAGATTTGTCTTTGAATCTTGGATATTTATTAAGAAATTCCTTCACAACAGAAAGATTTCCATTCCATGCAGCTCGAAAACCATCAATGGAATCTCGAATTGCTTCGAGATCATTAAGAAAGTCATAAAGAATACTCATCGTTAAATTTTCCTTGAATTGATGCTTCGACTGATCATAATGATATTCAATTAGAAAATTGACAATATATTCTTGATGACCCTTCGATAATTTTGGGAGACATTTATTAAAGATCAGTCCGATTTTTCTCGTCAATAATTCCATCAATTCATCATCGTCGATATTGGACGAAAATGTTTTTATATTCATATTCAATGTAGCATTCTCTCGTAAAATATCTGTCGTCGATATTTCTTGTTGTCGTTTCAATTTTTCGAGTATTTTTTGCACAGTTTCTATAGCTGTTTGTAAGCTATTTTTCAGTATTTCATCGTCACGATTGCTAGCCATAATTTTGTTGTTTTCAGACAGCAAATAGAATGAATTCAAACGATGCTATCAAGCTGAAGACGGAAAAAGTTTATTTAAAATGCAGAGAGCGACTTACTACAAGACAGAACGAGAGAAAAAACCCAATGATGTCAAAAAAAATAACCAACCAGCGATTTTCACTACACTTAAAAAACCCTTATAAAACAGAACCGAAAGAGGAAAAAGAGTCATGATAAATCATGAAGTAAGTTGCCTTAATTTTCCCAGAACTTGGAAGAAAAAAACCTCTTTCTTCCCATGCAGACGAGCAAACGTCAAAATGTTATTTCATCGCATTCAGACAGAAAGATATAAAAAAAAAATACTTTATAGCTTTCAATTACTCTTCCACAATAATATAAAGTTATTTAAAATAATTAATTTATTTTACAAACGTTTCGACAGCATCTGATTTCTTCTTCAATGTTTTCTGTTACAATAAAATGACAAAATGACAGATGTTACACGTGTTAATATTTTTCTCTTTTTCTTCTAATAATAATATGGAACAAGAAACAAGGGGTAATACTGGACGAGATGAATTCAAGTTCATCTTCTTCTATACCATGATTAGAAGGAAAAGAGAAAAATATGAATATTTGTACATTTGTCATTTTGTTCTCTTATTGTAACATAAAACACTGAAAAAGAAAGCAGATGCTTTTGAAACGTTTGTAAAAAAAATTAATTATTTTAAATAACTTTATATTATTGTGGAAGAGAAATTGAAATTGAAATCATTAAATGTCTTTCCTATTGAACACAAAAAAGAAATAATATTTATAAGAAATTTTACAAAAGTGTTCAATCTTTATCAAAAAACTGCTGAATTGCTAGTAAGAAATAGTCAATGAAAGAATAGTTCATTAGATAGATAAAAAATTAAGACATTTTTCAGTCGTTTCTTTATATATTTTCGTTTTAGTAGAAATATTTTGATATCTGAATGATTGAAATGATATATGAACTGTCTAGGCATGAACGAGTATTAACCAAGGATATATAGGGTAGCACGGAAAAAACATCTATTATTATTAGACTCTTCATTCTTTGTGCTAGATATTTAGATCAATAGTTCTTCTATAGTAGAAAACCCAATGATATACGATTCGCTTTTTTTAATTCAAGAAGTTTTTAATGTAATCTAAGGGTGTCACTTTTGCGTTCCGTTTCTAGGAACGGGAACGCCTCTCAAAATTGCCTTTTCTAGTTTTGTTTCAATATACCGAGGATTGTAAACATGTTTGCTCGTCTTTTTAAGTTAGAGTGTTTGGCGTTTCCCGTTCCTAGGAACGCGGAACGGGAACGCGACACATGTTCCCTTTACTTTAACGGAAACTTCCGAATTCATCGAGCGAAAGGCAGATTCCTAAAACTTACGAGTTTTTACAAAGTTTGACCACAGGTAATTGGAATCGAGGGATCTCAATTTGTAATCATGTTTCTCAAAGTTTTGAGTTTTATTTATTTATTTATTTTTATCACGGAAAAGTTTTTTTTCGAAAATAGAGATTTTCTATAAAGTTTGACTAAAGGTAACCGACGTCGAGGAATTCGAATCTGTAATCGGTTTCTCAAAATTTTGAGTTTCATTTTTTTCATTCGTCGAAGGGTTTCTTTCGAAAATAATAATTTTTTTATAAAGTTTGGTCGAAGGTAATTGGGGTCGAGGAATCCGAATCTGTAATCGGTTTTTTTTCAGAATTTCGAGTTC